CTTAAAAATTAAAAAAAAAAAAAAAAAAAAAAAAAACAAAAAAAAAAAAAAAATTTTTTGGGGGGGGGGGGGGGGGGGGGGGGGGGGCACCTGCCCCCCCAGGCCACCCCCCAGGTCCGCCCCTGATTATATTCATTCTCATTTTACTTGACACGTACAATAATTTACATTGTTACATTAGAAATATGCTATAATGACCTTGTGTTCATTGTACTTCTTGTTACCCATGTTTAAGAGAATCATGCAATGTTTGGGTTTCGTTTTCTTTTACTTAAATTTTACTTTTCATAGTTAAAACATTAATCAATCACACAATTTCTTGGATCTATAATTACTATCCACTTACTCATCACTTATTTTATGTTAGTTGTTACCAACTTATACACTTTGCATCGCTCATCTTATCCTATTATCCACACAAAATGACATCGTTCATAGTTACTACTTTCGCATATCTCAAAATTGAAATAAAAATAATAATAATAAATCTCACATTTTATTAAATTACCTAAAGAATGGCGCTTCAGTTTGTTTTCTACTTGAATAAATAATGTTGATCTAGGTAATAAAAAAATATAAATAGTGGCACATCAACGGTCAATGGGCCAATCTAGTCTCCTTATTTTAAATCTATATTTGTACATAAACTTTGATGAGTGTTGAGCCACGTGGATTAAGCGAGTCATAGTGTTTGATGTGCTAGACAGGTCGATCTGTCGATAATGTTACATCCACATATATGATACTTGTCACAAAGAATGCGAAAAGGAGTAAGGAACTTTATTGACTTGTTCTATAAGGGTGTGTTTGAGCCACATTATTTTGGAAGAATGTTTTTTGGAATAATAGATTGATAGAGAATATGTGGTTGAAAAAGAAGAAAAAGTTATCGATGTGATGAAAAATATTATTTTATTGAAAAATTTGTGGTTGAAAATAAATAAAAGAATGAAAATGAAAATTTTAATGTGAATCAAATATGGGCTAAATGTAGATTCAAGTCGAATAGTGTAATTTTACAATTTACTTGTGGATAATATTTGTATATGTATATATAAAGGGAGGGAGGGAGAGAGTGTGTAAGAACTTCGCGTTGGATTGTGTGCTCATTTATAGTTTTATTGATTTTAAAATAACATTATTCTAAGTTGCATTGATTTATGATTGGGCGTGCGATTTAAAGTGTCTATAAACACGATCACTTGTGATAATATAAATTGGGTGCTTGCATCGAGAAGTGCATTGTGACATGATTTATATTTTGATCATAAATAATTTGTTCACGACAATGTATAAGGGTGACACCTTCTGCCGGAAGGCTGTAATGTTAATCGATTCACTATTCAGATTTACAATTTGTCTTTAACGCAAAAATGGTTAAATGTAATACTAGTACACTTAGAGTGTATTGAATAAACAACATTTCGAGTTAAATTAAATAGCATGATCATGTGAAGAATTAAATTTACTGGATCGTCGTGTATTTCATCAAAATTACTTCTCAGGGTTATGTATATGTTTTCGTAATCTTGATGATTCTGTGATTTGCCATTGGGTGAGATCAATTTAATTGGTTAAATATTTCGATGAGTAGAGACTTGATAATGAGCAAAGTAGAGAACATGAATTCGTGAGGAGTGTCATCGCCCTAGAAAATTGATAGAGTGATTATTTAAGTATTTTTTTGTTGAACGATTAAAATTTTGAAATTAGTGTTTAGCAAATGCTAAATTTCAACATCCGTGCTTAGTTCACAAAACTGTTGAAGAAAATGATACTTAATTTAGTGAGAATAATTAGAGGGGTAAAACGGTTATTCCTACTTGTACCTAATTATTGAATCTTGAATAGAGATAGAATACATATACGACGGTCGGAGGAAAGTATTATAGATTTATTAGATTTTGTGGTCTTGTATGTTTTGAGAGTGCGGTTTTTTGTCTTTAGAGGAGAAAGTAAAGACTAATAATTAGATCGATTGATCTAGACTATAAGGTCTACTAGATAGGATCTTGTTATTAGAGTTTGAATAATATTTGTCCAATCAGGTTCACGTGGTAGTTTTATGATGCATTCAAACTTAATTGTAACTATCACACAAATTTTGGGCTTAATTGTAATTACAATAAAATTCGGGACTTACTGGTAATTGCTATTAAAATTTTAAACTTAATTGTAATTGAAATTCTAGGATGACACGTGTAATTAAATATAAGCCCATGTTTGTCTACCATTTTTTAAAACATTGTTTTCTACAGTAATCAATCTTCACCGCACATTCAAATAATAAAATATTCTACACATAAATCAATAAAGTTTCTTTCAATTTTAACCACACATTCTCCAAAAAATACTATTTAAAACATCATTCTTTCTCCCA